TGCATCAGGTCCTGCCGTATGATCCCTATGGTGAGTTCTACGAACATTTGAATGTATTTGCAAATGTTATCATCATAGTACATGAGAAAGTAAACACATTTGGGCCTCTTTATATTTGATCCCAAAAGTTCAGCCTGTTAAACATAAATATAATTGCCTTCTCTTCCACTACAGTACAGGGGATCCTACAGAATGAGGATCTACGAGAGGGAGAACTTCATGGGTCAGATGTACGAGATGATGGATGATTGTGACAGCACCATGGACCGTTATCGCATGTCTCACTGCCAGTCCTGTCATGTGATGGACGGCCACTGGCTCTTCTATGAGCAGCCCCACTACAAAGGCAGAATGTGGTACTTCAGGCCCGGAGAGTACAGGAGCTTCAGCAATATGGGTGGCATGAGATTCATGAGCATGAGGCGTATCATGGATTCTTGTTACTAGTGTTCCAGTGTTTCAATAAAATTTGTCTAAATAAATTTTTGACTACTGTTTTTATTATGTTTTTTTTAATACTGATACCATGGACAGGAAGCATAATTCATCTTCTCTGACAAGAACAGTGATAAATTAGTACATTTTACTATTATACTAACATTAAAACAAAATGCATGTGGAAGACTTCAAATAACATGCAGTTTATGAATATTTTAATTTTCATAAAGAACATGAGAATTTATATTTTTCTTTATATATGTTTTCAGTCCATATTTGATGAGTCTGTTTTTTAATGTTCATTAACAAATTAGTTTCACAATTTAACACCAATAAAAATTATGATTTAGAAAATACAGATACTACAAATACTTTATCCATTTAATAAAATAACATTCTGTCCAATAAAATTATGTATGGATATTTTAAATCAAAATAATACCATGCCATGTACATAGAGTGGATATCATACCACTACAATAGCCATAGTGAAATTTCAAATGAGCGGAGAGTCTGATCGCTTTTTCCAGAATCATTTAGTTAAAAAATGACATATATATTATGACATCATATTTGGATAATGATTATTTTTTAGTGCAACCTCTGCACAAACATTCTCCCTTTGCTGACTATATGACACATCCAGTGAATTATATCCAAATAATTGTATTACTTTAAAAACCTGACTAAAATCTATTAAGTGTCTAGTTATCTAGATGTTTGTAACTGGATTTACTGGTGGGGGGGAAACCTGGTTACAGCTTGAGTCCCTTTGTACACAGTTGGCCCTATGGTTAATCTCAGGACGATCAAAATGTTTGATGGTATGTTGTATTTGAACACACCTTCATAGTAAACTCAGCTTCTGTTTATAGATAAATGCTCCATGCCTGAATAATTCAAGTCTAATTCATTTTCACAAAACACAGCAGCAGAATATGGTTGTCAGACCTGTATTTGAGAAGACGAAAATGCAGTAAACAGTAAAACTATTTGCGCTACAAACCAGAGTGTTTATGATCAGAAAATACCAGATACCAGTTTGAAAAATCAAGTAGTAATGGGCTGTTAAAGTAACTGGAAGTGGCTGACATTAGAACCCTTGCACATTCATGTTAAAAATGGTCATGCCCACTTTTACATTAAAAATAAAGGGGTGGTCACAATACACTTCATTCCATTGACTTCCATTTATACACAGGTGAATGCTATAGAATGGAAGCACATGCTGATTCAAAAAAGTTTCACATTTCACTGCATTCCAAAATTGAAGTATAGGGTACTCTGAGCTGCAGAGTTATATCACGTGAAGAAGATTGCTACTGCACGGCACAGCGTGACCTCTTAGTGCACTTAGTGAACTGCACTGAAAAACAAGGGGGACACAGTTATAAGCTGTGTGTCATCTGACGAAATTTCAGGTTTCTCTGGATGTCTGGAGCACACTAGCATGATCTGGCACCAGATTCAGATAGCCAAGAGGAAGAAGAAAGACCTCAATGTCATTTTCTTTGATCTGGCAAATGCATTTGGTTCTGTTTCCCATAGCATCCTTTGGGCTGCTTTTGATTTCTTCAAAACACCAGAGTGCATCACAAACTTGGTAAAACCCCTTTTTTCAAGACCTGTCATGAAACACATGACCTGACCTGTCAGATTCCACATCATGTGGCAGCATCTCGATATGGGCATAATGCCACTAGCATCTACCATAGAGATGGAGGTTATTATTAGGGCGTCTAAGTGGGTGGTTGGCAGCGAGCTCCCGAAGTCCAGAATCCATTTAACACCAATAAGGGCCTATATGGAGGACATTACAACCCTAACCACAACAGCACCATGTACCAGATACCTGCTAAGGAAACTCTAAGAGAACACTGAATGGGCCAGGATGAAGATCAATCCATCCAATTAGAGAAGTATCTCTATTCTCTATGGAAAGCTGTCTGACCAAAGGTTCCTAATTGGCCAATCAAAAGACTTGGAAAATGCTAGGATGCAAGCCTCAAAGAGTGAACAAAGAATGTAGGCAGGAGTTTTGAGATCATTGGTAAGGCTATGCTCCCTAGAAAGCTAAAGCTTTGGTGCCTACAGTTTGGCCTGCTGCCCAGACTAATTTGGCCTCTAACCATGGTTGACATTCCCCTCACAAAAGTGGAGAAGATGGAGAGAATCATAAGCTCCTATATGAGGAAATGGTTAGGTGTTCCAAGATGACTAAGTAGTGTTGCTCTGTACGGGCACTGCGTTCTCTGCAACTACCCATCTCAAGTCTTGTATGAGTTTAAATGCACCAAAGCAGGGTTAGAAATTACCCTCTCAGAGTCTCGAGTCCCAAGAGTCCCGTGACAACAGTCCCAATCAGCAATCCAGCACCCCGACATCATGGGCCATGTTCAACAGGGAAGAGGAGGGCTGGGTTTGTGTCAGGGCAGACCCTGGTGGAACAAGGCTACACCTTCAGAGCAGCGAAAACTGGTAGTCCTGAATGTCCGACATCAGGAGGAGGCAGCAAGGCATGCTAAAGCAGTCACTCAAGCCCAGTATGAACAGTGGAACTGGAAGAGCATAGAGAAGAATAAAATTAGCAGGACGGAATTGTGGGAGATTGAGGCAAGTAGAATCAGCTTCCTGCTCAGGGCAACCTATAAAGTCCTGCCCTCACCCAAAAATGTCCAACAGTGATTGGGGGAAGACCCATCATGTCCCCTATGTTCATCATTAATAAAAGGTATTATTATTATTATTATATTTATTATTATTATCTCCTCCTTCCTTCAGATACATCCTTACCAGTTGCAAGGTAAGCCTGTCTTGGGGAGGTACATATTGAGACATATTGAGGCTAAAATGCCTGGCTGCAGTGACTGAGGCTAAAAGAATAACCACCAACGCCTGCTCTTCAGAACACCAAGCACCACCCAAGCAGCACTATCCATTTGGGAAGGGCAGAAGGTACAGGGAGAGCTTCCTTCATTGACCAGGGCTGTGCATCTCAAAGAAGCCTGGGACTGGAAAATGCTGGCTGATGTGGGTCAGCAACTCATAGTCCCATCGAAAATTGTCAGTACCAGCCAAGACCTGGTTTTGTGGTCCAGCACCCTGCTCATTGTGTATTTTTATTTCATTGACAGTACCCTGTGAGGATGCTATTGAGGAGACAAATTAGAGGAAGAGGTTTCAGTATGCAGAAATTGCAGTTGAATGCTCAACAAAAGGGACAGAAAGCATTGGTCTATCCAGTGGAGATTGGCTGCAGGGGCTTTGTGGCAACATCAACCATCTGGCTGCTGAAATAGCTGGGAATCCACAGCCAAACCCTGCATCAAACCATCAAAGAAAAAGCAGCTACTTCAGAACACTGCAGCTGGTGGCTCTGGATCAGGCGTAAAGACCCCAGTTAGGTCCCAAGATGATGGGGACACACACCCAGGTCTGATCAGACTGGGGTGGGCCTGCCTCTGCAGAGGTTGAATTGTGTTTAAAAGGCCAAACTCCTACATCAACTGAGGGGCCCCTGGCATCTACTAGTGGTTGGCACATTCTAGCATTTGTGCAGTGTAAGACACCTGTGTGCAGCAGTTTTCAACTGCTTGCACACATGCATAAATTCTGCTGTTGGTTCATTTAGATCTGACAGATAACTTGTTCCTCGACTGGACTTTTGTTGTTTCAGATGTGATTAGACAGTTTTATTGACGTTGCAGTGCATCTTTATTACTTTATTTGTCACTATGGTTGCAAGCGACAGAATATCGGCTTGACTCCCATTGCACTTTCATATAGACAGTACACAGCTGCTACTGTACGCTGCTGTGTGAAAAGGACATTGTGAGAAAAATTTTGTTTCATAAATGTAGTTGTCAATCACAACATGTCTAATATTGTGTAGGTCCCACAAAAGCAGGTCTGATGTGTCAAGGCATGGACTCCATATGACCTCTGAACATTAGCATAGCCGATCCTTTAAGTCCTGCATGTTGGGATGGGACCTCCATGGATCAGATGTGTTGGTCCAGCACATCCTATAAATGTTGAATCAGGTTGAGAGCTGGGGAATTTGGAGGTCAGGACAACACCTGGAACTCTTTGCCATGTTCTACAAATCATTCCTTAAAATTTTTTGTTCAGTGTGGCAGGGTGCATTATCCTGCTGAAAGAGTCTACTGCCAGTAGGAAACACTGTTGCCATGAAGGGGTGTACATGGTCTGTAACAATCTTACAATAAGTGGTACATGTCAAAACATCCACATGAATGCCAGGACCCAAGGTTTCCCAGCAGAACATTGCCCAGAGCATAACATTGTCTCTGCATGAGCAATGGGAGCCCATGACCACGAAGCCGGTTCACCGGTTTTCCTTCCTTGAACCACTTTTGGTAGTAATTACTGCATAATGGGAGCACCCCACAAGACTTGTAGTTTTAGAAATTACTAACAATTACTATTTGGCCCTTGTCAAAGTCACTTTTTGCTTTTTCCTGCTTTTAAACATGTGAAATTCAACAATTCTGACTGTTCTCTTGCTGCCTAATATATCCCACCCGTTGACACATGCCATTCTAACGATATAGTGTTGTTCATTTCACCTGTCAGTGGCTCTAATGTTGTTGCTGATTATATTGTATATAATGTTGCAAAATCGCTAATGGTAACTTAGCAACCATCTGATGCAGTTGATTGAATTCATTTAAAAAAAATAATAAAAAACAAAGATTTGTTTACAAACCAATTTCTATAACCCTTGTTATATTAATATTAATACAAATATTTAACTCAAAAGTAGTATTCTTATTTTATACAACAGTCAGTTTCAGTCGGCGCTGATAGCCTTGTGGGCAGTGCACGCAGACATATAGCGGTGTGGTGCAACAGGTGTCCCGAGTTCAAATTCTGGCTCGTCGACCTTTCCCCATCCCATCCCCTCTATCTCTCCCACTAAAAAAAAGTAAATGCTTGCCCATGTCAGTGCACAAATTGATGAATGCATTCCTGATTTATGCAATACAACATACATTTAATCAATGTCAAC